CTCCCAATCTCAATAAACGACACACTGAGGTCAGCAACATTACATTATTTAAGTTAACCCTTTGGATGCCAAGGTATCTTCTTAAATAAGCAGAACTTTGTGTATATAAGGTATTATTTTGCGCCTACTATTAATACTTAACCAGTCATGGACACGTGTGTCCAGAGCCTCCATAAGTCTATAAGAAATTATATGGGTTTATAATACTAGGTGCTAACACTTTATACATCATATTTCAAGATCTCAATGGCGTTAAAACCCACATATAAATTCTTACGGAGGCTCTGGACACTTGTGTCCGTCCGTGGCTGGTAGTATATTATATTATCCTCTGAAAAGAGGATAACCTCACTGTAAAGTACACAATGTGCGTATTATGTGCCCTGCAATGTTGCACTCAAAATGTTGCATTCATAGTTCGGGAAAACAGACCACTGCACGGCTCTCACTGATTGGCAATTGATTCACATCATAATGTTTCAGATGTAGGTTATAGCTAACAGGAGCCTGACAGACACACTTTCTTGATAAGAACTACACACAAAATTACACGTTTGTGAAACAATGCAAGCTGTATAATACTACAAGGTCTTCAAAAACAGTTGTAGTCTAATTAACCAGTTCATACACTGGGTCTTCGTGTGTGCCACCCTTACACACTGAATATGCTTCATTGGGATACACAGGAACTTGAACACTCATACTATGTCTGAATACATTGTGTTCGCCATTATGCTTTGTTGGTCTCCAACTCATCCTCCGATGTTTGCTGTGATAGTTCCATCGGAGGACCCGGCATATCTGATTCTGAAAAAATAATGTCCAGTTATTTCTTCAGCTTTAAACTCACGTATAATATTATCAGGCAAAAACCATAATGTAACACATTACTTTTTACACCAGAAGAGGATGTCTGTACTATATTTATATTTTTCATCTTTGTCTTTGTCCTGCACAAAAATTGTAGCTACATGCCGAAAATGTCTGTGGCGCATGAGGTCAAATTTGATCTTCTATAACGAAGAGTCTTCTTATTGCAACACATTGAGGGTTAGCTAGATGCCTGTGTTTAATCTAGATGTGGCACTCACCAGCAGATGTAGGCAACTAGACTAGCCACAATAATAGCGAAAAAGACGATGATGACCACAATGATGGTAACAGCAATGGCAGTAACTGGTGGGTCAGATTTGGAGTCAGTTGACGGCTCTCTCAGAGATACTGTCACTGGAGATGAGAAATCCCCTCCTCCAACTGACGTCACTGCCTGCACCTGAGCATGACACACAATGGATAGTGGGTGTGCTTAATGCTATGCAGTTAGCCTGTTGTACTACAGCAGAATGTTTACTACTGAGAACCAGCCCTGTTACGATCACAAAAGTGAACTGTAAGGTATTGTGCTATCATAGCACACCAAGTGCAACATCTACTTTTGGTAAACATGGCGGTAGACTAGAAAAAAGGGCAATTAAAGGAATGTGGTTATAGCATACCCAAAGCCTTTAAATTGGGTATTGTGTACTGTGGAGTAAAAATCTTTATGCATAAAAAGTGTCCCAAACCATACTCAAAAGCCCTTACAGTAACATTGTAGTCCATGTTGATCTCTCCATAGTTGGAGACATCAATAGTCAAGACGTCCAACTCCTCAACTCTGGTGACCAGTTGCCCAGAGTCAGCTGTGGATATGATGACATTGTAGTAGAGAATGACTCCATTGGGAGGAACTGGAGAAGACCAGCTCAGCACTCCATTCGGTTCAACCACAAACTCTGTCACTGTCCCTCCAACTGCATGACAGGATAACTGTTTCAGTGTTTACTCGTTCACAAAAACAGCCCACTGCACAGGGAAGGCTGTAGGACATGTTAGCTTTGGAAACGTACTGAACAGTTCAGCAGGTCAAAAGCACACCGCAACATACATTTGGTAGCTTGGAAAAACAACCAACAGAAACACTAACACACGGAACAAAGAATGCATAACAGCATAAGTACTGCACAATAATAATGGCAAGGATTATGACTACTATGAGTGGCAATTCCCAAGGGACTTCAACCTTAGTGGTTCAGCCTTTATCTTACAGATTGTGATAATAACTGTAGTATTAAATGGTTTCCCAACGATATTCCAAAATGTGCAATATGCATAAGAAAGCTTCACTTCCTCCACCGTTGTGGCTTACACATACACTGACCTCCTTCCTGAGTGTTGGTAGTGGTACTGAGACTCCTGGCATTGATATTGTTGTCCTGAGAGGAGACATCATTCTCAGCAGATACAGAGAATGTGTAGAGGACACCAGGAGTCAGTCCAGTCACAATGGTCTCTGTATCATTCACCTCACTCACCACCACTCTCTCTCCACCACTTCCTCCTCTGTCTAGGTACGAATCATAAGTGAATTGCATATGAAAGTGAAACAAATGATAACACTTTTTCCAAAGAGAACTTCCCTGGGTCTCTAACCATCCTGCAGTCTAGGCAGAATGCTCTACAAACTGAGCTACCGGGGCAGTTCACCTGGCAAGGCTCAAAGAATACAGAACAGACACTAACTGCCTTAGACCCTGTTACCAAGTCAACAACGAGGCCAAAGCAAAAGCAGAGGCAAACAAGTCAATTACATAATGTCCATCCCAGCTGAGAAGTGAAACGTACCAGTGGCAGTGACGGTGTAGACTATCTCATAGAGAGGTCTCCCTCCACCATTATCAGGAGGAGACCAGGAGAGGACGGATGATGTGTTGGTCACATTTGACACTCTGAGATCAGATGGACGTCCTGGAGACTCTGTAATGGGTGCACGAAATTTTTCAACAGGATGTTCTTGTTGACTTCATCTTATTACATGTGTAAACACACCAGTTTTCAAAATTAAAGAGCAAGTGATAAATTAAATTCTACATCAAGTCTTACGTGTACAGGGGACGGACGGCCCTTCATAAGGAGCTCTGTAGTAGTCCTGGAGACATGGACAGAGGCTCAGACTAGTTCCAGTCCCCTCACTGTTAGCTGGACATGTCTCACATGGTCCATTACCCAGTCCTGATGAGAAGGTTCCTTCTGGACACTCTATAGGAAACATAGAGAATAGAAAATGAAAACACCACATCAGTGTCACATTACCTGAGCACTGGTCTTGACTACTGTCCAGCTGATATCCAGGATTACAGAGACAAGGTTTTATCACATTCCACTGTCCTCTAGGACCACATATTAGAATAGGATTAGCTCCAGACTCTGTGGAACTGTTCTCTACACACTCTCCCTCCACTGAAGGTGAGTCTTCCAGAGACTGGGATTCAATTGCCTCAGGTCTGGAGATGAGTTCTGATGTCTCCTCTGGACACACATAGTAGAGAACTAGAATTCTTGTGAGAGTAACACAAGTGCTCAAGTCAACAACTCCCAAGTAAAAACTACCAGTTGTGCGTAATTCAATATCATAATAGTCAACAAAGGGCATATCTCCACTAGTAACATCAGGAGAGACTCGATCAACTCTGACGTAATTGTTGGTGTTAGTTGCTCCATTTCTGTCAATGGCTGAAGTCTCCCACTTGTATAGTTTAAAACTCTGTCTGCACTGTCTACTGATATCACATCCATTGAGAGTTCCCTCAAACTGAACAGTCACTTTCCTCAATCTCTCTCCTCCTCCTCCTGGTAGCACTGTGTTGATGTGCTGTGTGATGAGCCAGTTTTCTTGATATCCAACACTGAATCCACACACTGTCACTGTCCCAGCACATGTACCTGATCCAGTTTGAGTCCACTGGAGAGCAATTTAATAAGTTATGTTTAGTAGAGCTATTGTTCTTACCTCAGTTACAACCATGTTAGTATTGTTATTGTCCCTATCCAGGCTCTGCCATGGTACATACGCATCTCCACTCTCCTGAAGCAGGCGGTTATAGTCTCTGGAGTCCATGAGAGGTCGTTCACTGACAGAGTACATTGGGCGGTTAGCAAAGAACGGATTTGGCTCTCCATTAACGATCTCATCGGTACATATGTCTACACCATCTCCTGGAGCTTGGTCCTGGACACAGCCTGCATGGCTGATCAACAGCACAGGCCACAGTACCACCACAATAAAAGTCGCGATGACCATCAGTCGGAGCTCTCTGGCCGTGAGCGCTTAGCGTGATATAAACGCATGCACAAAATGTTTGTCGAGTGCTCTGCTGTTTTCTCTCGTCTGATATCCACGGCGGAGCTGGGTGGCCTTCTACTTGCCCTTACAAACTATAGCCAAGAAATTCGACAGTCAATCTCATGTTTCATTGCCTGAAATGCAAACATGGAAGAAACTTGACCCGAATCATGGGAAACAATACGAAAGCGTTGCCTGAAAGTTCATAAAACATTCCACGAATTATTGCCAGAATACCGTTCACGGTCACTCGGTTCGCTAAAAAAACGTTAACAAGGAGTCAATGGACAGCCTTGTAGACTGGCTCCTTCACTCGTTGCAAGGTCTGTTGAAGAGACTGCTTCGATTTCTTCCTAGACGGTTTACTATCCAATCGATGTGTAGTATGCTACGCCACTGACTTGAGTGACCGAGTGACTGCGTGGCAGAGCCTTTGGCTCGCAAGGTCGCCAATTTCGAATTCCATACAGACATTTTGCTTTGCTCACTTCCTGCACAGCAGTAACATCATTAGTTGCGTACATAAAATTACGCGAGATGACAAAAACTATACTAATTTGGAATGCTTGTTTAGTTCCACATATCCAGCCATCCCCTCAAGCCTGGTAGAGATAACAGTTACCAGTTGAGAGAAAGTTGGTCTATCCCCCGGGTCTTCCTCCCAGCACTCACTCATTATGTCAAATCTATAATTAACAGTAAAGAAAAATTTAAGACAGTGGAACCACCACACAAGGGGCATTAGCTATGGGTCTAACAATTTTGTCCCTTGATAGAGGTCATCCATACTTCGGTGGTCAAAAAATACTCTCAAGTGTTAGCATGGGGTTGAAACAAGTGTCCTTTGTAGAGAGGGCATCCCTATATTTGAGGGTCCTTTATCGGACTGTATACTAGTTAACCCTCGGCGCGCATGCGCAATGAGGTTTACGGGTCTTGGTCAGCCTGTCCGTAGTTTGACTAGTCCACGCGAGTTCTCGCACTACAGGCTACAAGGCGGCCAATGAGTGCCACCAGCGGCTTTTGAACAACGAGAACATAGTTAATAATGTGGCGATTTTCCACAAACGACTGTGTTCCAGAGATGGCGTGAAAACAGGCGAAAAAGCCAAATTGCGATTGATCGCGCACTCGCCCTCGCTGCTGGCAGGCTACACTGGAGCGCACGCGTCATGTTAGTTTCTCGCCAGAGCATGTTCATGTCATAGGATTGACGGGCAAGCAGTTTTTCTTGAGTGTCTCTCCTCTGTCAGTTTTGATCTCTGTTCTTTTTGTCCCCAATGGATAACAACCGAGCAAGGTATGTCTGCAATGTAGCATAACAGTTCACGTGAGACAAGCAGTTTGTGGATACGGCCTGGCCTTCCCATCTAGCACAGTCTGGCCATATTATGTCGCAAGCATTGGAACACAGAAGAGAAGATAGATTGAATAAAGCAAATTAATGTGAGAGCCTCTTAAACACCTGACCAATTGCTAACTACTCCCCTCTGGCTTGTGTTACAGCAAGACTCGTGTTACTGGCTCCATCGACGACGCATGGCCCAGCCCATGTAGCTAACATCTACATCAACATTACAACGTGTTTTGCGCCGAGGGTTTGCACTTTAGTGCTTTTCATTGTAAATGTAATGGTAGCTATCTACAACAGAGAGGTGGCCATACACTTCCTGTGAGCAGGCAGCATTGAGGGGTTTGTCCAGTCTCTCTCCTCTCTCCAGATATCTGATGAGAGAAAAGGGGTCCACTCCAGGATAGGGGTTCTTTCCCAGTGAGAACACCTCCCAACACGTCACTCCAAATGACCACTGTATATAGTGATAAATATTTGGACAATGGACATTCAGAATCACAAGACATCCATACCACATCAGATTTCTCAGAGAAGACTCCATCGTTCAAGCTCTCAAGAGCCATCCACTTGACTGGTAATTTCACAGCACCTTCTCCGTTCTCTTCTTGTCTTCCTCCTTGTCTAAAATAGTTTCTGGCATAGATGTCCTCTGAGAGACCAAAGTCAGCAACTTTTATGACGTTGTTTAGATCAATCCTAAATTAGCAGATTGAGATAACACACAAACAAGCTATACTCATACATACATGCAGTTCCTGGCAGCGAGGTCTCGATGGACAAACTTTTTGGAGGCCAAGTACTCCATGCCTTTTGCAATTTGTAGGCACATTGACAGTAGCCTTGACCCATTCTCCGTTATCTAATAAAGATTAACACATCTAATAATTATACAGGGTAGCTATAGCTACGATCATGTGCACACTGAGGCAATTGCAAGGTGTGCAAATTGAACACAAGTTGGTAACTCAAAGTTATGCCAGTGATATTGTACTAAGAAATAACATTTACCAATTCTGTCATGTCATTCTTTACTGTCAACTCTGGTCTATTCTTTCGCAGGTATGATAGCAAACTACCATTGGCCATAAATGGCATGAGCAGGAAAGGGATTGTGTCCATGCTGAGTGACACACCAATTAACTTCATGACATTAGGATGATCAAATCTAGCCATCTTCTTACTCTCCTCTGCTAGATGCTGGACATCATTCGAACTGAATAGTCCTTTGTAAGAATAAGAAGTGGAAAAGGCATTTCTCTGAAATGAAGGGGGTGTGTAGGGATGGCGAGTTCACGAGACTAGGGAGGTCTATAATCATAATAACCCCACCCTTACATCTTTGTCCACATTGTTTCTATGTTCAAAGTGTACTGGGACAAAGATGTGATTATTGACCTCCCTCTAGTCTCGTGTTTCCCTCATTTTTCGTGAACTCGCCACCCCTTCATGTCAGAGAAATGATTTTTCCACTTGTTTTAGTTTTTAAAGTCAATGAATATTGATCCTAGAGCCAGGTGTCATTCCGTCTAGGAACGGTTTACCCAGCTTCACTTCCGATTCTGTTTACAGCGGGCGAAGTCACTGTAGTGTAGTGTATAGCAGCAGCTAAGTTCTGGAGATGTACAAAGAGCATGGGGCAAGCCCCAGAAAAGATATCCTGCCGATGTAGGGGTTTCTACAACACCGAAAATCTTCGGCTGAGCTGCAACAGCATCTCTCACACACTTTTTTGCAGACCAGGTTGCACGTGCGCTACACCTTCTGGCTTCAACGCAAAGTAGTTGCTGAATTATGGCTACGTCAGCTGTGTTCACTTGATCAGAAAATATCTACAATTCTGGTATATAGCTCGTGTTTGTGGGAAAACTGGTATCGCTTGCGAAAAAGGATCGTAATCCATTGAATGCGAGGCCAATTGGTGTGAGTTTTACCTTCTTTACCCTCACAAGTAGGTCGGTTTACTGAAGAAAAGAAGAAGAATATGACAAAAAATTTGAAATCGTGTATATATGTGCAAATTCTTGTGCAATGATTTCAGGGTGTGCTGTGGACAGCTGGGCATATGTATCAGAGGAGAAAGACCCGCAAGGAAATATGGAATGCCTTGGAAGGCCCAGTAACTTGTATGGAGTGAGTTTGCAACTGCTTCATGTGCAGGTCACGTGAAATTTCATCCGTCTCATCCCTACATAGAGCGTCTACCGATGCTCTGATGATGTTATTAATTATACCAAATATTTCACATCTTACCTTTCAGTGTCTTTGCAGCAACCACATCACGAATGTATCCTTTCCAGTTATGTAATAATGCCTTGTATACAATTCCAAACTGTCCTACATTTAGTGGAAAAGGATGATGTAATAAAATTGACATTTCATACATTCACTAATGATTTTCACCTTCGCCAATGACGTTTTGAATAGTAATGCTACTCTGGGGAACAAAGAGCCCTTCATCAGACATCTGTCGTGATAATTTCATGACTGGATCCGGCATATCAGGTTCTGACACGTCAGGCTCTTTCCTCAGCTCTATGTTTATATCTAGTGCAGGCAAATGAAAACAGAGTGTATAACAAAAATAACTGAGGGTGTGTAGTTTTACCAGTAGAGGAAATATTATTTTAAGTTTCTTCTCTTTTTTATTTTCATCCTTGTCCTGCCAAGAAAAAGTCAAACACACGTTGAACAAGCACAGTTACAGGGATGTGGTGTTAAGACACTTTAAACAGAGTTAACATATGAGCGATGGCGTTGAGCGGTGGTGTTGAGCGGCGTGAGTCTGGCCTTGGGTATGCGCGTGAGTAGGGCCCTACCTGTACAGCACAGTTATTTTTGTTAAAACAACTGAGCATGTGCAACCTCCCATTTTATGTGCGTGGCTCTCCCGCCAGCAACTGGGCCCACCCCTAATACCCACCCGATAATGGCATGAGACACTGGAGCACAGTCTTCAGTGTGATAGGTGAAGTCAGTGTGGACAGGGATTTTTTAAAAATAGGAGCTGATTAGCTTGTTGGGCTAATCATGCACTGTATCATCGCTTACACCATGTTGGCAAGGGCCTGACTCCACCCAAGGGCCACACCTGCTATCTTGACCGGAGTCATCATAGGTCATCGTGGTCCAACCATGTGCATCAGCATTCTGTACGCTGGGTGCTCGCACCAGAACGTAATTGGTTAATGCACTCTTTTTTAGTTAAAATGAAAGGGAAGTGTATTTAATTTCTTTTATCTGAGAAATGCAAAGCATCGTGGTACTACTTGCTGTGCGCAAAAAGTGTGCCTTGTTGCAAGGGTGCGTTATTCTATGTTACTGACAGGGCTTAGCAGCAGAGCCTTTACGTAATAGGATGCTTGAATGTGTGGACTGGACAATCACAAGAAGCCTTCAGAACCCTTTAGTTTCCTTCATCAAAATGTTTCACTGTATCGTCCTTCACAAAATTTGTTAATGAATCATCCTTCATCCCTTATGTGAGTCTCGGAGACAATGGTAAAACATACCAGCAGATATAGGCACATAGAGCGGCCACAATGAGACCAAGAGTGAGAGTGACGGCCACAACTGCACCAGCAATGACACCTGCTTCATTAGAACTGGACCCAGAATTGGAGTCAGGTGACGGCTCTCTCAGAGATACTGTCACTGGAGATGAGAAATCCCCTCCTCCTACTGATGTCACTGCCTGCACCTGAATGACATAAGAGATGATAAAAGTGGGTGTGCTAAATGCTACGCTATTGTACTACTGTGATTGTTTTATGATCACCGATCACCAGAGTGAACAAATTATGGTTACTATGAGGTATTTTGCTAGCACACCCAGGTGCATCATCTTAGTTTCTGGTAAAAATGGTGGTGAACTAAAAAGCATGAATAGTCATGAAACAAATTACAGTGGAACCCCTCTAAGGCGGACAACTTAGAGCCAGAACATATGTCCATTATAGCGGGGTGTCCTTTATGGAGGGGTTTTGCCTGATTATACAGTGTTACACAATTCTATGTCACTAATTCACTGTTAACATCCTTAAAAACGCTCTAGACAAGATTACAACATGATATGATGATGATGATGCTGATGATGACAGTAGTCGATCAAAGTCTATAGTACGCTAAAATATTCCGCGCTTCTCAAAAATTTTCACATGCTGCCTGCAATGTCGCCGTGAGTATAGTACACACGTGTGTGTGTGTGTGTGTGGCTCCGTATATATTCTCGCAATCATAATCAGTCCTGAAGATGCCCTTCGTCGTCGAAGAGAGAGGGAAAGAGAACATCGTGCCCGTGAGACTCCTGAGCAGAGAGAGGCTCGTCTGTATCAGCGTCGCTTGCGTGATAGGGAATTTCAAAAATTTTACACGCTGCCTAGCTGTCGTATCGATGAAATCTAGCCAGCGAAAGAACTCTCGTCTCTTCGCTGGCATTCGCTGCGCTCTTCGATACCTGACCGAGGCTGTATGATACCTCTTTCCAATCTTCGTGGTTCTAGGATGGCTCGTGCAGCTGTGTGCTCGCTCCCGCTCGCCAATAATGCCATGCATTCGCCTACTATTGCTGGCAGGGGGCGCGGCAAACTGTCCGTTACGCGGGGTTTTTTTTCTACGTTGAAAAGCATTTGGGATTGGTTTTACTGTCCGTTATACGGAGTAGCGGGGTGTCCGTTCTGGAGGGGTTATGAACGTACGGAACTCTACGATAAAACAATCGGGACCTGCGAGTTTGTCCGTTATAACGCGGTGTCCGTTGTAGAGGTGTGTCCGTTAAGCGGGGTTCCACTGTAATGTGGTTATTATAGAAACAAAAAACAGCATACCCACAGCCTTAAAATATATTGTCTTGTGTAGCAACTGTGAAGTAAAAAAATCTTTGTGCATTAAAAAAATGCCCACATAAATGAAAACCATACTCAAAAGCCCTTACAGTAACATTGTAGTCCATGTTCATCTCTCCATAGTTGGAGACATCAATAGTCAAGACGTCCAACTCCCCAACTCTGGTGACCAGTTGCCCAGAGTCAGCTGTGGATATGATGACATTGTAGTAGAGAATGACTCCATTGGGAGGAACTGGAGAAGACCAGCTCAACACTCCATTCTCTCCCACCACAAACTCTGTTACTGTCCCTCCAACTGCATGGGGTGTGGTTGAATGATAACTGTTTTAGTATTAGTTAACATATATAGGCGGCAAGGCGGTACAGGATATACTCTGAAGCTGTTGACTATACTGGACAAGAGTGGATCACAATGCTGAATTTCTGCTGCTTCATCCTGCCCTACATGTGTGGTGCTGACATATTGGATTGTTGGGTAAACTTTGGAATCCAGACAATTGGCACTATGCCTAGCATTAGATGTTGTGATAAAGACTTCCTGTCCAGTACTGCACAATCACAATGTGTATGGCCAGGAGTATAAGTGGCAACTCCCATGGGACTACAATCTTTGTGGTTCAGACTTTATTACATAGCTTGTTATAATAACTGCAGTTTTCCCAAGGATATTTCTAACTGTACTGTGTGCATAGAAAAGAAAAGCACTTCCTCCACCACCTATGGTTTATACAGACCTCCTTCCTGAGTGTTGGCAGTGGTACTGAGACTCCTGGCATTGATATTGTTGTCCTGAGAGGAGACATCATTCTCAGCAGATACAGAGAATGTGTAGAGGACACCAGGAGTCAGTCCAGTCACAATGGTCTCTGTATCATTCACCTCACTCACCACCACTCTCTCTCCTCCACTCCTCCTCTGTCTATACAGTGCATAATAAGGAAGTCACATAGGGTTTTACAGAGCAGATAATCACTTCAGGAAAACATGTAGGATATTCAGAATTTGTGGCAAGTAAACAGGAAATGCACAAGGCGTAGGATACGCAACTCAGAACAAGCTAATAATATGGCATGCAATAGTTCTTGAATTTTGGTCAGAGTAATACTTAACATGTTGGATGGACTGGTTGCTTAAAGTCCATTGTAAATGCATACTACAAAATTAACAATGAAGGAATTCTCACCACTGGCAGTGATGGTGTAGACTATCTCATAGAGAGGTCTCCCTCCACCATTATCAGGAGGAGACCAGGAGAGGACGGCTGATGTGTTGGTCACATTTGACACTCTGAGATCAGATGGAGGTCCTGGAGACTCTGTAAAACATCAACATACAGTAGTGTCTGTGTCAACAGTCTTACAAGATGATGCTGGGATGACAAGTCCAAGTGTAGCCAGTTAAATATGCTGTCAGAAAGGATGTGACTTACTATGCTTTCTGTAGTATACGAAAGTGTTTCACCCCTTACGTGTATAACAGTACTCCTTTACCACCAAACCAGTAGTAGTACATGTATATAATTATATGCAGTCATTATGCAAACAGTCTAGCTACAACATTGGACGTAGCAAATACTTTACTAGCGACACTCACGTGTACAGGGGATGGATGGTCCCTCATAAGGAGCTCTGTAGTAGTCCTGGGGACATGGACAGAGGCTCAGAGCAGTTCCAGTCCCCTCACTGTTAGCTGGACATGTCTCACATGGTCCATTACCCAGTCCTGATGAGAAGGTTCCTTCTGGACACTCTATAGGAAACATGGAGAGTAGAAAATGAAAAGACACCACATCAATGTCACATTACCTGAGCACTGGTCTTGACTAAAATCCAGCTGGTATCCAGGATTACAGAGACAAGGGTTTATCACCTGCCACTGTCCCCTAGCACCACATATGAGAATAGGACTAGCCCCAGACTCTGTGGAACTGTTCTCTACACACTCTCCCTCCGCTGAAGGTGAGCCTTCCAGAGACTGGGATTCAATTGCCTCAGGTCTGGAGATGAGTTCTGATGTCTCCTCTGGACACACATAGTAGAGAACTAGAACTCTTGTGAGAGTAACACAAGTGCTCAAGTCAACAACTCCCAAGTAAAAACCACCTGTGGTGCCTAATTCAATATCATGATAGTCAACAAAGGACATGACTCCACTAGTATCAGCAGGAGAGACTCGACCAACTCTGACATAATTGTTGGTGTTATTTGCTCCATTTCGGTCGATGGCTGAAGTCTCCCACTTGTATAGTTCAAAACTCTGTCTGCACTCTCTACTGATATCACATCCATTGAGAGTTCCCTCAAACTGAACAGTCACTTTCCTCAGTCTCTCTCCTCCTCCTCCTGGTAGCACTGTGTTGATGTGCTGTGTGATGAGCCAGTTCTCTTGAGCTCCCTCACTGAATCCACACACTGTCACTCTCCCTTCACAAGTGGCTGATCCAGTTTGAGTCCACTGTAGAGCGATTTAATAAGTTATGTTTAGTATAGCTATTGTCCTTACCTCAGTTATAACATCGTTAGTATTGTTATTGTCCCTATCCAGGCTTTGCCACGGTACATACGCGTCGCCACTTTCCTGAAGCAGGCGGTTATAGTCTCTGGAGTCCATGAGAGGTCGTTCATGGCAGAGTACACTGGGCGGTTAGCAAAGA